TCATCCGCAATATGAAGGACAAGGTTGGTCTGATCAAGACACGTAAGCTGAAGCAGAGGTCCATCGTTGAATTCTTTACTCGTATTTAGTACTCTCTTTCTAAGTCAGAATACGTCAGACTTTTTGTTTCTACGTACGCTATATAGAGAGATTTAGTTAAGAAAATTGTCGGGACTGAGCTATCAAATTCAAATTTTAAAATTCTGAAGGTATTTTAATTTAAGTATGGTGCCCAACATGGGTCCATATCTTTTGTTCAATTAAGAGAGGGTTTCAAATTAAACAGGTTTAATTTAGACAGGTACTACTGTATTTCAATCTAAGTATGGTGCCCAACATGGGTCCATATCTTTTGTTCAATTTAGAGAGGGTTTTATATTAAACAGGTTTAATTTAGACAAGTTCTACTGTATTGATCTGATTTAATCCTACTAGAAGTGTAAGGTTTACGTACTCACGTTTACAAATTTATCCCGATACAATGGAAGCATCGATCAAAAGACACAAATTGGTTTTATTCGCTCACCCAGAAGCTCATTTTTTGCCATTTAAAGGACTAAATACCTTATCTATCCTTTTGTTATGTACACTTCGAAACTAACTCAGCAACGGGATTGCAGCGCACAAGTCACAGGATACTTTAATTAAATGATTCTACATTAGAAAAGCATGAAAATTTGGCTTATGGGCTCGACCTAAGAGCCTCCAAAGTATTTAGTTAGTCAAGTCTCCCTGCTTTTTCATGATTTTACATTTTATTGTACCCAATAATATACAACTGACGTAGAATCTACAGTTTTATAAGAACCGACGACTGTCATTCTATGAAACGTATCGAGTATTTATAGGGAGGTGAAGAACTTTTGCGAGAACGGGCACTTACGTGCAACCCCATGTCGTTGACCTATAAACTGTTTTAGCAACACATGTTGTGCATGTTTACCTCCTACTCAGAATTTCCGCGCATATTCAAAGTTCTTGTCCACCAAACAGGAGACGCAAAATCTCCCTATAACATCCAAAGGCTGGAAGTTCTCATCAGCGCATCGGCGGCAGACCATCACTAGAAGGCGAAAACAGCTCTTGCAGCGGGACCGCCGTAGCTTTGCGCTTGAGGAAGCGTCTTTGGGTCACCGACCTTTCATTCTATACAAAAACCAAGTACAAATGCAGCGGATCGCAATCCGCTGCCTCTAAGAGTACTTAAATGCCTTACCAAGGAAATCTCACACTTCTGTTCAAAACCGAAACTGATTTTTATTTATATTTTTATCCTAATGTTAAAAGTTTAGATTTTTTTAAATATACTAAATATATATAGTAAAATCTAAATACATCCATAACTACTGGCTACCTAGCCCTGTCCCGTATTCTTGTTTTGGTGTGTGGTCACATTATGTACATCTCGTGTGACACGCATACACCCCTGTTATTAGGGTTCGTGTAACCCCGTTACACCCTCCCCCATTAAGATTGAAAACGTTTACAGGTCCAAACAATCATTGCCTCAACGAGGCTCGCGTGTCCGTTAGACACTGCAACTTCATTTGTTGGAGCAAACAAATTCCTTGCTCAATGAGCCCTGTGTCAATGACACCGAAATCTCCATGTCGAGCATGGGCAGAGCCCAACTTTATCTCCCGCACTCGGTGCAACGTCGGACAGTGCGTCCGCAGCACCGAGGGGTGTATAT